ATGGAGAGGCTTTCTTAAATAAACTATAGTCAACTATAGGAGTGGGGCGGAAGATAAGTCACCTCGTGTATAACGTATTGGGATATCTGTCATCCTAGAAAACATGCTTTTAAGGCGTTTTTGTTCGCGTGGAAAACCAAGCCACCATTGACCCCAGAGTTCTATATGAATTCAAGCCAATAGGCTTGAGACACGGAGGAAAAAAATAGGATTCATCAGGCTAACGCCGAAATAGAGTTAGTAGTCAACTTGAGCCAACTCTTCTCTTCTCTACAAGAGATTAATAGGTGAATGCCTAATGAAGTAACAATTCATGGTGAACTAATTTATATTTACAGTAATGATGGGTTTTATAGTACAGGTAACGTAATTTAGTTAAATCGTAGTCAAACCAATGCACTGAGATAAGGACCGATAGATTTTACGTAGTTAGTTATAATATATGTAACGTACTATGAACATAGATTTATATACAAGATAAACAATTAATGTGCGTATACGAGTTTTATTACACGAATACTAAAAGTTCTGCAAAACCAAGATTCTAGAGAAAGGGTAGAAACCCATCAAACCAAGGTTCTAAAGGTAGGGAAGAAATCCATCTAACAAAGGTTCCGAAGGTAGGGTAGAAACCCATCACACCAAGGTTCTGAAGGTAGGGTAGAAACCCATCAAACCAAGGTTCCAAAGGTTGGGAAGAAACCCATCAAACCAAGGTTCTAAAGGTAGGGAAGAACACCATCTAACCAAGGTTCTGAAGGTAGGGTAGAAACCCATCAAACCAAGGTTCTGAAGGTAGGGTAGAAACCCATCAAACCAAGGTTCTAACGGTTGGGAAGAAACCCATCAAACCAAGGTTCTAAAGTTAGGGTATAAACCCATCAAACCAAGATTCTAGAGGTAGGGTAGAAACGCATCAAACCAAGGTTCTAAAGGTAGGGTAGAAACCCATCAAACCAAGATTCTAAAAGTAGGGTAGAAACCAATCAAACCAAGATTCTAAAAGTAGGGTAGAAACCCATCAAACCAAGGTTCTAAAGGTAGGGTAGAGACCCATCAAACCAAAGTTCTAAAGGTAGGATACAAACCCATCAAGCCAAGATTCTAAAAGTAGGGTAGAAACCCATCAAACCAAGGTTCTAAAAGTAGGGTAGAAACCCATCAAACCAAGGTTCTACAGGTAGGGAAGAAACCCATCTAACCAAGGTTCTGAGGGTAGGGTAGAAACCCATCAAACCAAGGATCTGAAGGTAGGGTAGAAACCCATCTAACCAAGGTTAAAAGGTAGGGTAGAAACCCATCAAACCAAGGTTCTAAAAGTAGGGTAGAAACCAATCAAACCATGGTTCCAGAAGAAAGAAGGAAAATCTACCAAACCAAGGTAAAAGAGATTTAGAAGAAAATCTACCAAATCAAGGTTGCAGAGGAAAAAAGGAAACCAACCAAACCCAGGTTTCAAAGGATAGTAAGGAAACCTACCAAACCAAGTTTCAAGAAGAAAGAAAGGAAACCTACAACAACCAAGGTTCTAGATATATAGAAGGAAACCTAACTAAGAATTAAAAATAGAAAAATATGACGAAACTTACCAAACCAAACCAAGATTCTCTAGATAAGCCTAATGGAGTAGCAAACCAAACAAATGTTGATCTTTGCAACTAAATAAAACAATTTATCGATTGAAAATAGATCAAAGTAAATACATTTACTTTATTTTTACACTAAAAGATGTAGCCTTTAAATTCTCTTTTAAAGCTGCAAATTCTCTAGTTTGTGGCTGCAGAGGGCATGAGAATATAGAAAACCAATAGGAGCATACAACCTTTCATCTTTTAGTATAATTTGCAATATTTTAGGAATAAAAATAGAATCAAATCAATTTCTTTTATAAATTGGAAACAGAGAACCAAAGTTTTTAACCTTCTAATGACCATTGCTTAGAAGCTGAGGATTTAATGAATTTCTTGCTCTTTTCCCGAAGTTTCGAATTTTTTCACTAAAACCTAATGATTTTTGCAAAATCAAAATATTTTCACAAATTTTTTGAAAAGTCTATTTAAAAAATGCCGAATGAAGACAATTGTGTTAAAAATTATATAGTGAGCAAAATTTCTTCCATTTTCTGATTTTAAAATGTTTAAAAATGAGATCAAAAACACTAAGAATTTAGCGAAGATTTTGATTTCATAGTTACAGAATTTTCTCAAATCATGAATTTTGAAAAGTTTGTGAAACCCCTGCTTCCAATCATGTTTTAAATCTGTGTGCGGTCTCCAGAGTATGAAACCAGGATTAAACTGGAACCAGGAGAACTTGAAAGGAAACCTAGAGAGCTTTGATTCAATTCTCTACTCAAATATTTCATTTATTAGAATAATCATATATTTTGATTTTAAAAATGAATTTCCTGATCTGCATTTGAGTCAATCAAAAATTGTAAATCAAAAGGCATGGAATGAAATCTGTTCGTTCGTGACCATAATTTGTTTTTTAAACAAACTTGCTTTATAACTTATTACTTCTAAATATATCTTCAATAACAACATTACACAATTGGGTTTGTTTACTTTCTTGGGATCCCCGTTAGAGGTGTAGAGTTAGAGAGGGTAGGAGAGAGGTACGGCCATGAAACCCACAAATTTCATTCCCAACTCAGGCAGTTAGCCAAAAGTATTGATGCTCCAAAGATTCTTTTTTAAACCACAAATATTGAGTTCTAACCCCACCATCAGAGCATACTCAGGGAGGGGTGCTACGAGAGCCAGCCCCCCCCCTGGAGCATTGAAATCTATGGTTTCCAGGAGATTTAGAACACCCTTGAGCCCCCAGAAAAAATGTAAGCCAAAGTGGACAAATTCGGAGTACGCCCAAGCCCACAATTTTTGGTTAGTAGAAATGTATTTTTTTCTAATGAAATTTTTTATATTATTTATATATACACTAACATGCAGTGTGTGAAAAAAATGCACATAAATCCTTAATTATTGCATAAACATTGCACAAATACATTTTTCAAAGAAATTTCCAAAATTTGTTCATAACAATAAGATTATAAATTAAGGGGTCTCGAGTATACAAAACTTTTGTACTGGATATCCGACTAGTTAAAGATTGCCAAAGCTTAGGCCTCAAATCTTCATATTTATGGCTTAGGCACAGAGTTTATTTTACAGATGAATTTTGAAATACTGTCATTGGTGGAAGGATTTAAGAGTTTAAGATTTTTATTTTTAAAAAAGTTTGTCCACTATAGATATAAAGTTCAGTCACTCCTATGGACCTAGTTGAATATTAAAAAATAACTGTGATCATTTTATGGGAGAAACGATATTTTAGAATTATTAGTTAGAATCATGAACCATGAACCATGATTAGGGATGTTAACGTTTTCATTTTCAGAAAAACGATCGTTTCGTTATGAAAACGACGACATAAATCGAAAACGAAACGATCGCTTATAAAAACGATCGTTTTTTAAAAAAATCGTTTTTTAAAAATGGTCGTTTTTAAAACGATCGTTTTCAAAACGCTCATTTTTGAAAACGATCGTTTTTCAAAACAATCGTTTTTTATAAAATTCGTCGTTTCGTTAACACTCGTTAGTACGACTACCCTTCGTTAACGATCGTTAACGACGGACCTTCATTAACGCTCGTTAACGACGACCCCTTCGTAAACGATCGTTAACGAAGAGAGGAAACCGACCTGAAGGGCATCTGTACTTATCATTGAGTAGTTTTTAAGAAAATATCAAGAACTCCCCCACAACTGTTAAACTTCATGTATGACGACATTCAATAAAGTTGCATGTAATTTTTTTTCCAAAAACGACTGTTTTGATAAAGTTAATCGTTTCGTTACGATCGTTAACGACAACCCTTCGTTAACGATCGTTAACGCCGACCTTTCGTTAATGATCGTTAACGACGACCCTTCGTAAACGATCGTTAACGACGGCCCTTCGTTAACGATCGTTAACATAATTTTTTTAAACAATCGTATAAAATACGGTCGCAAATCGTTTTAATAAAAACGATCGTTTTCAAAAACGATCGTTTTCAAAAACGATCGTTTTCAAAAACGATCGTTATTCGTTTTATAAAAGTTCAAAACGAGTGGGTCGAATTCTTAAAAACGATCGTTTTTTTCCGAAAACGAAACGAACGTTTTTGAAAACGAAACAAAAATCGATCGTTTAACGATCGTTTACAAAAACGTTTAACAACCCTTTAACCATGATGCATGTATAAGTCACTTTTTTTGTTGCCTGTCATGTTTGTTTTAGAGGTGAGAATAAAATTGATAATAAATAAGAAAAAGTTTTCTAAGGTTCGAAATCCTATAGTTTTGAGGACAATGTTGTGGGGTGGGTTCTGAATAGAAATTTAGCCAATTCCACCTCGCTCAGGAATAGAAATAGATTGTGGGGTTCGTGGCCGTATCTCCCTCCTTTTACTAGGAAGAGATTCTTGGAATTCATTTACTAGATTATACGCAATTCACACAATAAACCAAGATTTTATTGTGCATTTAAAGTTTAAACAAACAGTGTAGTGTACACTTCTTTATAGCTACGTCCAGAGCCCGTTCCATAGAAAGTGGTCGTACGTAGTTCACGTACTTTGGGGGACGATATGTTGGCCGCTAGATAAATTCTTTTCTGATAGATAGATATTTCTCCGCACATTTGACGACCAATATAGGAGACGTCAAGTTGTCGACCAATGTAGTTTATGGAAGGAACGGCCTCAGGGCAGCGTCGGCTAGAGCCTGAAATTTAATAGATAAAAGTTGTAAGCCCTACTTTTAGTTGTTTAAATTCAAGAAAATTAAGATAAGCAGATCGAATGGGAGAGTTCTTAAAAGTTGAAAGAAAAATTTTGATACCCAATAAATTCCGTTCCTTAATATTTATGAATGAACCTGTGTGACAGTGACTGTCCTAGCCCGATGTATATATTAAATTTCTGCCTCCATTGTAGTTTAGTTCTACCAGTTAAAGGTTACTGTGTACACAGCTGATAAAACAACAGGTTTTATTTACACACATCTTCAATTCTTGTCTTATCATTCTACACAAGGTGAAGCATATTCTGCAAACATTGTACAATGTACAGTTCTTAGAATGTATTATTTTACTAACGGATAGATGAAAACAATTAGAAGTTACAACGTTTTTTAGGGCCAGTGAAAAACAGTACAGTAAAATTTAATTTTCTGAGCGATGTTTGGGGGATTTCTTTCTCAAATATATGGTTAAATTTAAGGGACAATCGTCATTCCTGAAAACCATTTTCTATTCTGAAGATGGAGAAGTGAAAAAATTGATATTATAAGAAATTATTTAGGGAATTTCCTCATATTGCTCCCTTGTATACGCCTCTGGAAAAAAACATATTTCTTTAAACTAAGGTCCCGGTGCTTACTGCAGAGATCTGCTGATACTCTGACCGTATAAAGATTATTACTAGAAATAACTCTAGAAGCGCCATTTATGCCTTTAGTGCTTATTATTTTCAGAATGATGTTCAGTTCGATACAGAGAATAACCTTGAGACAGCTCTCAACAGGATCCCAGATACAGGAGGTCGTCATCATTGGAGGAGGTCTCATGGGAGCAGGGATAGCTCAGGTATAGGAAGAGGTCATAAGTGGAGTTTACATGGGAGCAGGGATAGCTCAGTTATAGGAAGAGGTCTTAAGAGGACCTCACATGAGAACAGGGATAAGTCAGGTAGGAGAAGAGGTCGTAAGAGGAGGTTACATGGGAGAAGGGATAGCTTAGGTATAGGAAGAGGTCATAAGAGGAGGTTACATGGGAGAAGGGAAAGCTCAGGTTTAGGAAGAGGTCATAAGAGGAGGTTACATGGAAGAAGGGATAGCTCAGGTATAGGAAGAGGTCATAAGAGGAGGTTACATGGGAGAAGGGATAGCTCAGGTATAGGAAGAGGTCATAAGAGGAGGTTACATGGGAGCAGGGATAGCTCAGGTATAGGAAGAGGTCTTAAGTGGAGCTCACATGGGAGCAGGGATAGCTTAGGTATAGGAAGAGGTCATAAGAGGAGGTTACATGGGAGCAGGGATAGCTCAAGTATAGGAAGAGGTCTTAAGTGGAGCTCACATGGGAGCAGGGATAGCTCAGGTATATGGAAGAGGTCTTAAGAGGAGCTCAAATGGGAGCAAGGATATCACAGGGAGGATGTTATAGTATAGGAGGTCTCATGGATGCTGCGAAGCTCAGTCCCCTAATTTCTGATAGATAGATAGTGAGATAGAGAAAGTTTATTGCTAAAATACATGTATCTGTGTACAAAACGAGTTTACAATTACAAATTGGTGATTATATTAACAGTACAAGTATAAAGCAATTAGGTGGAAAATAGCTCTTGGCTGTTCTGATTATTTTTTCCACCTAATTTCAATAATGATAACAAAACATTTCAAGTAAATAGATTTAAGGAGAACTATTAGAGATCAGGGGGCGATTTTATCTTATGCAAAATAATTATACATTAATTACTTCGAAGTAAAATTGTAGTTGTTTAATATGTTCAGGTGTCTGCTCAGACGAACCACAAGGTCACCCTGGTAGACCTGAGTGAGAAGGTGTTGACCAGCTCTGAGAAAAGAATTAGAACCAGTGTCTCCAGGGTTGCCAAGAAGCTGTTCAAGGATGATAACAAGGTAAGGAAGCAACTATAGTGAAGCCCATATTTAAGAATACAAGAATTTTCATTGGAAATTGTCAGTGTTTAAGGGGCGGGCTTACTAATAAACTTGTTTTGGGGCTGCTTAAACTTGTTGTTCTTATCAGGGGGGGGGGGGCCTGAAACCCCCCTGGAAGCTGTATTTGATTTTACTAGGCTATCAAAGGTTTCTTTTTGCAGCTTCAAAGAAATGTTTTTTTTTTTCTGGAATAAAAATTATCTTTTATATTTTGTGAAGGTAAACAAATAGCCCTAAAATATTCAGAGCAGGTTATTTAAAAGCCCCATGTAACGGTGGGTGGGGAGCTGAATTGCTTATAAAATGAGTCGTTGAAAACATTAAAACTCTTAATATCCATGGTAATTGATCATAAATAAGCCCGGAAATTTTATCCCTATATCTTTGCAACCTGAAGTCGTACACTTTTTATATTTTAAACTATGAATTCTGTTAGATACAAAAGTTTAAGGTTGAAACATGAAAGGTTTACACCTTCAAGTTTAAACAAATATAGTGATTAGAAATTTTTAGTTTGTGGCAAAATCTCAATTTTTTCGTTTATTTCATTATTATCTAATTTTTAACCAGGCTAGCGAGGCTTTTATCGAGGATACAATGGGTCGGTTGAGCCTAGTGAGTGATGGAGGTGAGGCTCTAGCCTCAGCTGATCTCGTCGTAGAGGCCATCACGGAGAATCTGCCTCTCAAACAGGTAAACAGACTAGCACTGATTTTCGAATATAAAAAAAATAAAATTCCGTTATTGATTCTACTTTTGATTTCTAAAAGATTCTATCCACGTTTTAAGCGATTACGAGTTTGTTTTATATAGTAGCTACCTTTAACCAATCAAAAGCAAACAATGGCATTTTCTATCGGAGTTTTTTTTTATAACGGAGTGATCACTAATCTGGTTTCCTACTTCAAGAGACTGTTCCGGGAGTGGGACGAGGTTTGCCCGGAGAAAACTATCCTGGCTTCAAATACGTCCACCCTCAGAATATCTGATATAATGAAGGTAAACAAACATAAACAAACATAAACAAACATAAACAAACATAAACAAACATAAACAAACATAAACAAACATAAACAAACATAAACAAACATAAACAAACCTAAACAAACCTAAACAAACCTAAACAAACCTAAACAAACCTAAACAAACATAAACAAACATAAGCAAACATAAACAAACCTAAACAAACCTAAACAAACCTAAACAAACATAAACAAACATAAGCAAACATAAGCAAACATAAGCAAACACAAACAAACATAAACAAACATAAACAAACATAAACAAACATAATCAAATTTAAACAGAAAAATCAAAAACTGGTTTCCAACTTGGTTCCACTTCAACCCTCAGAATGTCTGATACAAAGAAGGTTAACAAACGTAAACAAACATATAAAAAACCAGTTAAGAACTTGTTTACATTTCCGTATATATACATATGAATTTGTGAAAGGCTGTAACAGGGTTACCCACAAAAGAAGAGACTTCAGAGACGACTGCAACGGAATTATGAGTTTTAGGTGGTCTTTACTACATCTTTTGTAGTTAACCCTGTATATACGGGAATGGCAAATGATATATTTCAGGATTGTTTCATAATTAAGACGACATTTAAATCCTACTTCTATTTCAGAACGTGAAGAGACAGGATAGAGTTGGAGGATTACATTTCTTCAATCCTGTTCCAGTCATGAAGCTACTCGAGGAATAATTTTTAGAAAAGTCAAATGGTTTTTTAAAACGTATTTTTTAAAAACTTTTTAATCTTTGTTTTAGTTTTCGAATAGTAGATCCCCCAAAAAAGGAACTTAATCCGGCAAGGGCGTATACAGAAATAAATCTGGGGGGGGGCAAAATATGCGCGAAGCGCACGGTTTTTTTTGTCCCCGCCCCTAAGAGCTTTGAACCGTAAATTCAAAACATTTGGCTTCTTGGATACTTTAAAGGTACACATACAACACTTGCAGTCAAATTACCATACAAGCACTACTTTATCTCTCCATCAAACAAAACTAGCAGAAAAAAACAGCAAATCAATGTTTTTAATACTCTTCACTCTTCAGTTTCAGATTTGAAAATTGTAATAGCTCTGAGTTCTAGCCCCCTTTACAGGTCTAGGTAGGGGCACTGCCCTCTTCCCTCCCCATGTATACGCCCTTGCCTAATCGTTTATGTCGCGATACTTTGCAACCTAATTGTGTAAAAAAAAAAGTGGGAAGGGAAGGGGAAAAGGGAAAAGAGAAGAGAAAATGGGAAAAGAGAAGAGAAAATGGGGAAGAGGGAAGGGAAAAGGGGCAAGAGGGAAGGGAAAAGGGGCAAGGAGGAAGGGAAAAAGGTCAAGAGGGAAGGGAAAAGGGGAAAGAGGGAAGGGAAAATGGGGAAGAGGGAAAGGAAAAGGGGCAAGAGGGAAGGGAAAAGGGCAAGAGGGAAGGGAAAAGGGGCAAAGGAGGAAGGGAAAAAGGGAAAGAGGGAAGGGAAAAGGGACAAGAGGAAGGGAAAAGGGGCAAGAGGGAAGGGAAAAGGGCAAGAGGGAAGGGAAAAAGGGGAAGAGGGAAGGGAAAAGGTGGAAGAGGGAAGGGGAATGGGGAAAGAGATGATTTGCATCTTCACAAAAAAAAATTTAACAGAAAACAGTATCAGAAATGCTTTCAAAGCAATCTAAGGGGGGACCATGAAATTGACCTTTTTAGGGCACCAGGGCACCAAAACGCTCCATTATATTACTATAACCCAAATATAATCTTTTCTTTTTTCTTCGAAGTTTGCGCGGGCTTCAGAAACCTGTAAAATATACCTGTTTTTAAGTCGTGGATTTTGGGAAAAAATATGACTCTGTAAGGGGGGGGGGGGCAAAAATATAAGTCTCGGAACTAATATACACCCCTGAATAAAAGACGACATTATAGCAAGCGTTAATGGTATCTGATGTTGGTACTACGCAAATAGTTTTACTAGTAACACGTATTAAATCACTTATTAATTCAAATGGGGATTCACTCCACAATTGCAGTGTCTAATGTTTATTGGACTATTTAAAGTCATAGGTTGTGTCTAAAAGTCGTCTTACTATTCCAGAGTTTTCTGGTTCTCACTGTACACTGTACAGATCAACGCAGTTTCGGAGACATCGAACGATTTTATAAAATTTCGTCCTGACAATTTTTCATGTGTTTTATACTTAAACCTAAACCTCAATAATTGTAAAATTAAATAATTAGCCATGAAATATGCGGGAAAAGTTTTAAAGAGCTTGTAGCAGCAATAATTCGAGTCTAAATGAAACTTAAGAATGCTCGAGAATTATGAGGAAAATCCGGGAACAGGAAAAACCAGAATCCAGGAACTAGTCAGTCTTCTTCCTTCTCAATATAATTATTCAATTAAAAAACTAAATATCTGCAGTATTTCATTTTCAGTAGGTTTAGAAAACGACATTATATAAATTCTTTCGATGCTGCTCACTATAAACTAAGAATATTGAATATATTAGGTTATAAGAACAGATTCCACTTCAGATCAAACCTTTAATGCTATGTCTGCCTGGGGTAGAGCTATAGGTAAACCATATTCCAGGGGAATAAAGTTCCAAATCGGTCTAATGTTTCGAATCTGACACTGAGTGTCAGTTTTGCTCAACTAATGGTTTGGAATTTTCTTCCTCTGTATTCATACACACAACACTGTAAACTTAAATATCCACTTAAAATATTCACCATAATATTAGAAACAAATACTTCTTTGAAATCTATATATCATGGGCTACAAAGTATTAGTAGTGAGGTCAATCTAATTGTAAAGCCAATAAAAAAGACGAAGACGGCAATCAGTTTCCTGGTTAAAACTGTATATTTTTTTAAGGTAAACACACTGTAGCCTGCAAGGATACAATAGGGTTCATTGTAAACAGACTTCTTGGACCTTATATTCAGGTAGAAATATTAGAAGAATAATTAATTGAGTGTGGGGGGGGGGGCATCCTTAATATATGCACTAGATTTCCTTACCCATTTTCATCATCTTATGCATATTTTGATGATCTTTAAAAACCAATTTTTATTAATGAAAAAAATTAAGAAGGAAAGAGCAGAAAGAGAGAGAAAGCAAAGAATAGTATGGGTTTTAATGAAGGGAAGCTACAGCTATGATTGTTTAGGAAGTTCTAGCTATGATTGTTTAGGAAGGTCTAGCTATGGTTGTTTAGGAAGCTATAGCTATGATTATTTAGGGACCTATAGCTATGATTGTTTAAGGAAGCTCTAGCTATGATTGTTTAGGAAGCTATAGCTATGATTGTTTAGGAAGTTCTAGCTATGATTGTTTAGGAAGGTCTAGCTATGGTTGTTTAGGGAAGCTATAGCTATGATTGATTAGGAAGCTCTAGCTATAATTGTTTAGGAAGCTCTAGCTATGATTGTGTAGGATAGGGACCTATAGCTATGATTGTTTAAGGAAGCTCTAGCTATGATTGTTTAGGAAGCTATAGCTATGATTGTTTAGGAAGTTCTAGCTATGATTGTTTAGGAAGGTCTAGCTATGGTTGTTTAGGGAAGCTATAGCTATGATTGATTAGGAAGCTCTAGCTATAATTGTTTAGGAAGCTCTAGCTATGATTGTGTAGGAAGCTCTAACTATGATTATTTAGGGAAGCTCTAGCTGACTAGTTAGGGAAGCCATAGCTTTGGTTGTTTAGGAAGCTCTAGCTATGGTTGTTAATTAGGTCTGGCTATGATTGTTCAGGAAGCTATAGCTATGATTATTTAGGGAAGCTATAGTAATGATTATTTAGGGAAGCTCTAACTATGATTGTTTAGGAAGCTATAGCTATGGTTGTTTGGGAAGTGCGAGCTATGGTTGTTAATTTGGCCTGGCTATGGTTGTTTAGGAAGCTCTAGCTATTGTTTAGAATGCTCTAGCTATGGTTGTTTAGTAATCTTTATTTATGGTTGTTTAGGAAGCTCTAGCTATTGTTTAGGATGCTCTAGCTATGATTTATTAGGAAGCTCTAACTATGGTTTTTTAGGTAGTTCTAGCTATAGCTGTTAAGGAAGCTCTAGCTATGGTTGTTAAATAAGCTCTGGCTATGGTTGTTAAATAAGCTCTAGCTATGGTTGTTAAATAAGCTCTAGCTATGGTTGTTTAGGAAGCTCAAGCTATGGTTGTTTATAAAACTCTACCTATGGTTGGTAAAGAAGCTTTTTCTATGTTTGTTTGTTTAGGAAGTTCTAGCTATGGTTGTTCAGGGAGCTCTATATATGGTTGTATAGGGAGCTTTAGCTATGTTTTTTTGGAAGATCTAGCTATGACTGTGTTGAAGTTAGGGTTGTTTCAGAAGCTCTAGCTATGGTTGTTCAGGAACCTCTTGTTATGGTTGTTAAAGAAGCTCTATCTATGTTTGTTTATTTAGGAAGGCATAGCTATGGTTGTCTAGGAAGCTTTAGATGTAGTTGTTTTTAAAACTCTAGCTATGATTGTTTAGGAAGCTCTAGCTATGGTTGTTTAGAAAGCTCAAGCTATGGTTGTTTAGGATGCTCTAGCTATGGTTGTTTAGGAAGCTTTGGCTATTAATGTATAGGATGCTCTATCTATGGTTGTTTAAAAAGCTCTAGCTATGGTTGTTTAGGATGCTCTAGCTATGGTTGTTTAGGAAGCTCTGGCTATGGTTGAAAGAGGAGATGCAACCTTCCAAGATGTTGATGCAGCCATGAAACTTGGAGCTGGATATCCAATGGGACCATTTGAGCTATTAGACTATACTGGACTAGACCTGCATAAGGAAACCCAGATCATTTTATATGAATTTAACTGCCTTAAAGGGATTGTGGACACTTGATTCCTGCTTAATCTGCTCTGTTTCCCTTGGTTTTGGATATTCCAACCAATAAGAGTTTTCTTAATAAATTGTGCGAACAATTTCAAATTTTCCGCCTTCTGAAGTTTTGATACGCCGCGCCACTCTGGTTTGCTGTATTTTATACTCTTTTCCGGATACAAACTGAAGATTTAATTAATCTTGAGATTAATCAAAAGTATAGATCACGTATTGAACTGAAAAGACACAATTCTAAAGATTTCAGCTCTGTTTAAAAAATGCTGGTTGTTTTATCTAGTTCATCAATGAGAACCCGGATCACCCCTTCAGGCAGGAGAGCAAGCTTATCAACAGTATGGTGGAGCAGGGGAAACTAGGGGTCAAGTCCGGGGAGGGGTTCTACAAGTACAAGTAGAACCAAAGGGAAATAACCAATTTTGATTTTGTAAATTTTTATTAAATTAATATTGTTTTACTGTTTATCCGATTAAATAAGTGCAGTTTTTATTGAGATTACCATAATTGTCATACTTTACCAGGACAAATATATAGATTAGGCATACTTAACCAGGACAAATTTATAGATCAGACATACTTTACCAGGACAAATTTATAGGTTAGACATTCTTTAACAGGAAAAATATATAGATTAGACATACTTTACCAGGACAAATATATAGGTTAGGCATACTTTGGCAGGACAAATATAAAGGTTAGTTATATTTTGCCAGGACAAATATAAAGGTTAGACATACGTTGCCAGGACAAATATATAGATTTGACATAATTTTACCAGGACAAATATGTAGGTTAGGCATACTTTAATTTTTATTCTATATACAAGAATTTGCTTAGGATCCGTATCCATTAGATCCGAAGCCTTTATAAAGATGGGATCCGCAGTATTTTAGCCCCTGGATCAGGGTCCATTGGATTCGCAACATTTTAGCTCCTCGGATCTTGATCAAAGTTGGATAATTTTAAACGAAACAAAGAAAATATTTGATGTTGCTCAAAACACATATTTTAAGCGTCAATCAATTTGATAAAAATTTGTCCAATGATTCATGATACGGTTGTGAATTATGAAAGTGTGTTTGTTTGGAATTGTATTCTTAAATTACAAAAGCTATTCAAAGATTAAAATTTTTAGCATATATCTAGGAAATGGAAAACCCTGAATCGTTTTAAAAAATTTCTCACAATTTTAATTTCAAAAAATTAAGTAATGTTGGAAATAGTTTATTTCAAGATAATTTGCCCTGGACACCGGAAGAGTTTCTTCAACTTGCAACCCCTGCAAATTAAAAGATTTTAAAAATCCGGATATAGTTGTCAACTTTCCTTTAAAATAGGTGTTACGCTAAACGTCTTTAAAAAGACAAAAATGCGAGAGCTATTTAGTGACCTATAAAATAATAGAATGGAATTTCAGGACAAAATATAGCATAGAAAATATTTATATATTGTAAAAATAAAAGATTTTGAGAATACAAAGTTTTTATTATGATATAAGTTTGGTAAAGGGGAATATGGTGAAACCCTGGTTTTAAANGGACATTAGGATTAGTATATTTCTCAAGGTGTGGGAATCAGTGACTTAACAATGATTTAGCGAAAGCAGTGAAAAAGTTTCCAAAATTTTGTCCCTTCTTAACTTCCTCAGAATGGGAAAAATTATAAAATAATTACAGGGTTACCCGTACAGGATGAGACTTGTGAAACGGCTGTACAAAATCAAATCTATTCAACTTTCATCCAGTACAGTTGTTGGCGTTTATATCAATACAATGAAAACGACTTTTCTATTTTAGTTTGGGTTTACAACAAGTTTTTCAAATTACAAGGGAAGCTTTTAATTGACAGCTTTTCTTTGTTTCCATGTTTATGTGTATCCAATCCAATCCATGCTGCTTAAAATCTTGGTAATATTCAAAGTTGAAATCAAAAGTCATCTTCATTTTATTGATGCTGACGACGACGACGACTGTACTTTAATAATCCTTTAATCTAAACCCTTTTCGTATCAATTTCTGGGTTAAAGTAAAGGTTTAATTTCAAGAGAATAAAAACGTCTATAGAGTACAGGGTGTCCCAAAAAACATGGGAATTCAGTGACGAATTCGATATCGTCTTTTTAAATAATTCTTAGATTTAGTATGGTGATACCTACTGAGAAAGCTGTAATTTGTAAGAGTTTCGTCTGCTGGGTTCACATTTTGTTTGTTTATGTTTTGACTGCATACGGTTGTACTTAATAAAACAAAAAAATTACAGTATACAAACAGAGTAAACTTGTCAGTCTTCACTGTTCATCTTGCGGAGACATTATAGACTCATATTTACAGTCTTTTACCCTTTTCATAAAATAAACTCTAGCAGACACAATAATATTATGGCTTATGAAATTAGGTATTGCAATGCTAATTCATAACAAAGACGATATCGAATTCGTCACAGAATTCCCATGTTTTTTGGGACACCCTGTATAAAAGGATGGGGAAATGATTTGTACTATACATCAGGAGGAAATACAATTTCATAGTTATAATTCTATAGTTCAAATATTAAAATTAAAAATAATTGAGTTTTTTCCACAAACAAATATTATGGTGTAAACTCACTGTGAATTAAAGGACTCATGCTCTCAAGCAAAAATCTATGAGAATTTTGCCAACCATTTCTTAATAACCAAAGCTAACAGCAAGTGCTTTGTAGTGCTAAAATGTACATGTAAAGGGCTACAAAAAAGCATAAATTAGTTAGAGCGGTAAAATCTTATCCCAAGGCATTGCGACACTTCAAAGTTGACCTTGTCTTAAAAATTGATGGGACAGTTTATAAGCAGGCTTAATTTATGTCTTAACTAAGGGTGTGAAATTTTTCTGGTAAAATTTTATAGAAGCAGAAAAGTCGCAAAATTATAGACTTGAATCATAGTCTAAACTATTTTCAATGTGGTTTAAGTCCGCGACTTTGTGCCGTCCAGAAATAAATCAAAATTATTGTAAAATTAAATTTTTTGGAAAAAAAAGAAAATTTGCAAAAACAGTAATCATATGATCTTAGTTTTTTGTTTCAATGTGTTTCAAGTCTGCGAGTCTACAGGGTGTCCCAAAAAACATGGGAATTCAGTGACGAATTGGATATCGTCTTTGTTATGAATTAGCATTGTAGTACCTAATTTCAAAAGCCATTATTTTATTATGTCTGCTAGAGTTTATTTTATGAAAAGGGTAAAAGACTTTAAAGGTGTGTCTATAATGTCTCTGCAAGATGAACAGTGAAGACAGACAAGTAAATACTCTGTTTGTATACTGTAATTTTCTTGTTTTACTAAGTACAACCGTATGCAGTCAAAACATAAACAAACAAAATGTGAACTTAGCAGACGAAACTCTTACAAATTACAGCTTTCTCAGTAGGTATCACTTTACGAAATTAAATCAAAGAATTATCTAAAAAGACGATATCGAATTCGTCACTGAATTCCCATGTTTTTTGGGACACCCTGTATTTCATTTTGGGGCGGTTGACACAGTTTTCCGCGTAAGCCTTAGAGACCTTTCTTAAAAAATTTACAATTGGATATACATTAAATACGAAAAAATGCGTTAAAATAGAGCAAATTTGTCAGCACTTTTTTCTATCCAAAACTTTATATTTTATTATTTGACCCCCTCTTTAAATTGGGCTGGATTGACACTTGTTTTGCGTAAAACATTCTGCTTAAGTTTGTAATGCTTTAACTCACAGCGCTATCAAATGTCGTCTTAGTTGATGGGACATCATGACTAGATAGAATATGTTATATAATATCTGTATACTGGGTTAACCTCAAAAGAGACAACGGTCTGTAATCCTTTTATACATCTTTCTTTCTTTCCAAATCATTAAATTAGCCATATTTTTAAAGACTAAAATCAAAGCAGACGACAATTAATTCAACCTTGGAATGGTCATATTTGAATTGAAGAGTTTTTCAGCCGCACCTTTACAGTCTCATCCTTTGTGGGTAACCCTGTATATGCGTTAATGTATTGTTTTACGTGGGAAAATTCTAGATAAATTTTAATCTTTATAATATAAATATTTTTTATTTTAATAGTTCATCTTCATTATTTACAGACACTTGCATGTATTAGAGACACTACTGAGCAAAAAGTTTGGCTTAGTTTCGTATTTTTACGAAGAAAGGGTAAAATTGACCTTATAGTCTTGATAGTGAAAGATCGTTGACTGGTGCTGAGTATAAAACACATTTATATGTTCCAATATTATGATATATATATTATGATAAATACAATATAATTTATAGTACAGGGTGTCCCAAAAAACATGGGAATTCAGTGACGAATTGGATATCGTCTTTGTTATGAATTAGCATAATAATACCTAGTTTCAAAAGCCATAATATTATTATGTCTGCTAGAAGTTATTTTATGAAAAGGGTAAAAGATGTGTTAAGATGTATCTATAATGTCTCCGCAAGATGAACAGTGAAGACGGACAAGTTTACTCTGTTTGTATACTGCAATTTTCTTGTTTTACTAAGTACAACCGTATGCAGTCAAAGCATAATCAAACAAAATGTTAACATAGCAGACGAAACTCTTACAGATTACAGCTTTCTCAGTAGGTATCACATATACTAAATCAAAGAATTATTTAAAAACACGATATCGAATTCGTCACTGAATTTCCATGTTTTTTGGGACACCCTGTATCTTAGCATTGAACTGAGAGTATACAAAGGGGTTGAGTTTTTGCCACAAACTCTGATTTTTTAATCTCTATATCTTTGTAATCCGATATCGTAGACCTTAGATATTTCAAACTATTATTACTTATAGATAAAATAATCTAAGTTTGAAATATCAAAGGTTTGCACCATCAGGTTGCAAAGATATTGGGATCAGAAGATTTAAGTTTGTGGCAAAAACTCAATTCCTTTGTTATTTAGATTCTGAGTTGGCTTGAGCAAGAAGAAGTGAGCTGAGCTGAGCTGAGCTAACCATGTCCAACTTGAGATTACAGTCTTGGATCAACTCATTTAGAGCTCAGTAAGTGTATATGTTGTGTCACTGCAAGGTTATACAAGGAAAGCTATTTCAGAGGTGTGAGCATCTTTTGTACTGCAGTGTACTGTCTCTGGGCCGTAATGTAAACAAAAGACGGATGTTTTTAAAATGTTTATTTTCATGGTTTCTCTGTAAAAGTGAGATGCGCATTTGAAAATATTTCCATTTACACTCCCCTTACCCCATTTAAAAGTGTGTTGTTCAACCTAAGCGCTATAATCCTTCAAAAAAATTTCGACCGAAGATACTTTTTTAGTAACTATGAAATGTTTCGAAGATGGATTAGATTAGATGGATTAGAATAGTAGATGGTATTTCTTAAACTGCAGATAGTTATATAACATTTCAAAATAAAAAATGAAGAAGTCTATGTAAAATGAAGAAGTATGTGTAAAATGAAGAAGTATGTGTAAAATGAAGAAGTAT